GAGAGAGAGAGAGAGAGAGAGAGAGAGAGAGAGAGAGAGAGAGAGAGTCCACTCTAAAACTGAGACCTCCTCCAGGGTTAGGGCATCAGAGACCGAGCTGTGTGTGTGAGTGTGTGTGTGTGTGTAAGTGTGTGTGAGTGTGTGTGTGAATCTACAAATTAAGTACAAACAACTATAAAAATAAACACCAACGACACAGACTCAAGAGGAATCCTGTTTAACAAACCAAAACACTCAGAGAACTAATCCAATAAAGAGCTAACAAACACACACACACACACACACACACACACACACAGTCTTCTAAATAATCAATACAGACATGGACTACACAGTCACATTAGGACCCCCTACTGGGAGACATGATGTTCCTCTCAGCTGTGCCCTTTAAACCTTAAAACACACTCTCTCTCTCTCTCTCTCTCTCTCTCTCTCTCTCTCTCTCTCTCTCTCTCTCTCTCTCTCTCTCTCTCTCTCTCTCTCTCTCTCTCTCTCTCTCTCTCTCTCTCTCTCTCTCTCTCTCTCTCTCTCTCTCTCTCTCTCTCTCTCTCTCTCTCTCTCTCTCTCTCTGGAATCTCAGTTTCTTCATGTGAGGATAAAAAAAACATGAAGTGACTTTAAACGAGGCGACAAACGGAGAAACCCTCAGTGATTCATCCTCCTCTAAAACACGCTGACTCAGTGTTTGTCAGACACAAGAATAAAGGACTGAATCGACCGCTGCCATTGGTCAGGGCTGAGTCACTGTCTGTCTCTGATTGGCTGTTCAGCTGATTAGTTTTACAGGAAACTAAAACCTGGAGGTGGAAAATATCAGGAATGAGGAAGAGGGGAGGGAAATGACATCAACAGAAGAAGAGAGGAAGAGGAGAGGAAGAGGAGAGGAAGAGGAGAGGAAGAGGAGAGGAAGAAGAGAGGAAGAAGAGAGGAGGAGGAGAGGAAGAGGAGAGGAAGAGGAGCAGAGAGGATCTTTGATACTGAGGCGCAGTCAGATACTGTTTTTGATATCTAATCAATAATACTTATAAAAGTCAAAATTAACGGCAGTGATGGGACAGACGTGTTATCAGTCAGGACGTTTCCATGACACTCAAGAAAACCGAATTATCGCCTTATTCCGATAAAGACCAAACAACCCATATCGCCCCCTTTGATCAGCTCGATTATTGATCGGCTCGATTATTGATCGGCTCGATTATTGATTGGTCTGTCTTGAGTAGAAACACACTGACTCTGTATTTATCTTAGGAAATCTTCGATCATGTGACTCCGACTGTTTGCTGACTCTGCGTTCTGACGGTTGAGAGATCATGGCGGCTGACCATAGACTGAATTACAACTGTATGGAGCGTCAGTGACATCATCCACCCGTTTCTTTAGCCTGTACTGGACCGAACATGGACCCGGTCCAAGTCCAGGGTCAACGTCCCGGTCTGATCAGGATCAAACGAAGCAGACAGGATTCTCATCTGGTTTATGATCCATGAAAGGTGTCCGGGTCAGAACCAATAACCATCGGCTCATGATTGTGACCGAGAGACAAACAGAAGAGGAGGAGAGAGAGAGAAATATGGAGGGGGGGGGGGGGGGGGCAGGTATGTTCTGATTCAATCCCAGAATGCACTTCAAAGCCGTAAGTCCACTAATGATGTTAATGAGCTTAATGCACACACACACACACACACACACACACACACACACACACACACACACACACACACACACACACACACACACACTATAGGAAATAATGGTCCCCATCGGGTTAGTGATATCTCCGGACATGGACCCCACCAGGATAGAAATACAAACACACACAGACACACAAGCAGTAAAGAGCTCATAATGTCAGTCATAAACATGGTGGATGTTTTTACAGTACACACACTCAAACACACACACAAAGACACACACAGACATAAACACACACAAAGACACACACACACACACACAGACGCTGCAGGGGCATAAATCAGTCATGGCGTTCAGGAGGTTGCAGCCCAACAGAAGAAGGTTTTCACAGTCTGTGTGATACCAGCAGAGTGTGTGTGTGTGTCTGTGTGTGTGTGTGTGTGTGTGTGTTTGTGTGTTTGTTATAAGACAGATTTAAAGTCTCTTCTTAAAGAACATTAATTCTTTTATTCTCCCTTGATTTGAAAATATTATTTATATTTTATTATATTTATATTTTTAATCGTCCAGAAGGATCCTCTGTCATCAGTCGAACTTTTCTAAATCCTGGTCCAAAAATAAACCCAGGACTAAAAGATGGTCTGATGAGAGTCCAACAGTTCATAGCTCACATGATTCAGATTATTCAGATTTAATATCTAAACGGTCTTATAGTTTGTAATTTTTCATGTTTCCACTTCATTTTGGAGGTAACGCTGAACACACAGGCCCTGTTTGGTGTAAACCTGACCAGAGAATTTTTCTTTATTTGGTGAATCAAAGAAAAATAAAGAAACAAGTAATTCACTCAACCACATAGAAACCATGACCATAGATGTCCGTCTGTTTTAGCGTCTATTCTTTGTCTTTCTACATCAGTCTTCACCTCGGTTAATCTATGTCTACAGCTCTTTAACATGTGAATGTGTGAGCAAGACGAAGCACAACATTAAAAAAAGAGAAAAAAACTAAATAAAAGGAGGAATCTGTCCGTCTGAGTGACCCGACAATGAAACGTTTACGGGAAAATACGACACAAAGGGACGAAAAAAAGGAGAGGGACACAGGGGAGAGAGTGGAACAGCAGGGGAGAGAGAGAGAGAGAGAGAGAGAGAGAGAGAGAGAGAGAGAGAGAGAGAGAGACAGAGGGAGAGAGGGAGAGAAGGGGGTGAGCGGGGGCCGGAGGAGAATACAGAGCGAGGATCAGAGACTGAAAGAAAACCGAGCAGAACAAGAGAGTCTGTTGGAATTTATACTGAACCATTTTTACTGGAGAACAGACCCACCCACACCTCTCCCTCTCTCTCTCTCTCTCTCTCTCCCTCTCTCCCTCTCCCTCCCTCTCCCTCTCCCTCTCCCTCTCCCTCTCCCTCTCTCTCTCTCTCCCTCTCCCTCTCCCTCTCCCTCTCTCTCTCTCTCTCTCTCTTTCTCTCTCTGAAGACCTGGACCTGTAATCAGATCTGACCTGAGAGTAGAGCTGGGCGATATAGAAAAAGTTTATCAGGTTATATTATTGTTTTCCTATCAGCTGATATGGATCAATATCAGGATCTAAAAATCTAACAGTGTTTCTTGGTCTCATGTCTTTTCCAACACAATAATCTCCTGCATCTGTGAGGTCTTTGTGTCTCTTTGGCGTTTTGTCGTAAGGCGTTGCTCTAGAGAAAGCCGACTGAATGGTCGTCTGTTTCAGGCGCCATGGGCTCCTCGCTCCTCTCGGGGTTTGTAACCTTTTGCGTTGCGCGTGCTCTGCGCAATGACGACTATTGAAAAGGATATTGATCATGTTTTAATTGATATTGAGGGAAATTAATTTTGGATATATATCTTGTTATGGTTTTATCGCCCAGCCCTATTACTGAGTTTTTATTTTCCTTTCTATGTTTGTAGGATTTAGATGAACCTACTTCAGTCTGCAGACGTCAATAATCTGAAGTTTATGTCGACTCTGAGAGTGAAAACCTGCTCAGGATTATCACCTAATTTCACTGTGTCTGAATTCAGAACCAGAACCAGAATCAGAGAACCATCCCTGGTCTCTGTGGGACAATGAGGCGTTCAGGTGCTTTCATTCAGACCGCTCTTTCTCATTTCAGGTAAACTGTGACCCGTCACAGCGGCTGAAGGTACTTCCTCTTTAAATGAAGGTCAATGAGGTTTAATCAGTAATTATCAGATTGAAACTGGGGAAAAGGGTTGAGTGTGTGTGTGTGTGTCTGTGTAATGTGATTCTTTAAAGGTGTTTGTCTCAGCCCAGCCCTGAAGACAGAAACACACACCCAGTATCCATCTGCTTCAAATTACACACACTTGAAAGAGACTATACACCTGTCTCAGAGGTACTACACACACACAGACACACACACAGACACACAGACCTGGTAGTAACAGATATGGGATTGCTCACACTTGAAATAATTCAATAAACACAGAAACAGTCGTTGTCGTTGTTCAGAGAAAAGAGCTCCACTCGTCTGCGTCACAAACTCAGAGACTGTCGGACTGAAACAAAGACTAACACGAGTCCACACTCTCTTATTTCTCTAATAAGCTCCTGAAAACACGCTGAGCTGTAAATTCTGCGTTTTAATTATTTTCATTAAACAGGTTTTCACTGATGAACATCTCCGTCTCCTTTAACATGAACTCTTTTTCATTAGTTGTTGAGTTTGTAGATTTCAGTCTGTTGCAGATTAAAGCTCGTAGAAAATGTTCCCAGTCAACATCCAGAGTCCATTAAAAAAAAGAGAAAGTTTATTATAATTTAAAAGGATCTGAAATATTTAAAAAGATTCAGAACTAAAGTGAAGGAGAAACGTCTGAGGAACAATCTGAACAAAGAAACTAAAGAAACTAAATCAGATTTGATCTTTAAAAAAGAGTCAAAGTCAGTTTATCGAGTAAAAACAGAAATATGTTCATCTGAGTCTGTTTGTTTAGTGAAAAATGTGAATTCAGGTTTTTACTGTTGGTGTTTGAAAATAAGACATAATAAAAACTCATGTTGGCCTGCAGCTCGGGTTTATTTTTTATCATTATGTGTTTAGTTGATGAATATAAAGAGGTTTAAAGAGTTTTTACTTGTTTGTTTTGAAGGTTTTAAATATGAACTGATTGAAATAAAGTATGAAAATAAAATTACAAACACAAAGATCTCCAACACCCACAGTCAGAGTGTGTGTGTGTGTGTGTGTGTGTGTGTGTGTGTGTGTGTGTGTGTGTCCATTAAAAATTCATGTAAAACCTTCACGGACCCCCACCCAAACACAGGTGTACTGGGTGGGTTGGGATGGGGGTGGGGTCTGCTCGCATCCCTAATCTACCAGCTGTCAGACTCCAGCCCGGCCCAGCCCCGTCTCCATGGCAACCCCATAAATAATGGAGGCTGCAGTGCATGCTGGGAGCCACAGGGCTGCGGAGGCAGAATCCCATTATAGTGGACTTACATAACGTGGAGTCCTCCGGTTTCCCTCAGTGAGTCTGAGACGCCTTTAGTCTAACAGATGATCAAGTCTGCAGACTGACCTGAGACCAGAACCAATCAGAACCACCGCTGTCAGACATGACTGAGGAGGACATGTGCGAGCTCAACAATCAGTCCGTTTCCATGACACTCGAGAAAAACGATAATCGCCATATTCCGATAAAGACCGGGCAACTGAAGGTCATGTGAACACCTTAGTCCTGCTATAATCAGAGTTTAAGAACGCTGATTAAGACACTGAATTAGATTTTCTCTACCATGTGACCAGCGTAGTCAGAGTATGACGCCACGCCCCCGTAACCCCGTAACAAAAACCCCAGAGTAGAGGAGTAGCGTTGGTCTCCTCTTTAGAAAAAGTAGTGCGTCCATCATGGAGGACAAAAACATGCATGAAGCTTGAGCTGAGATGATCCTCTCATGATCTGCTTCAGTGATTATATCAGGAACAGAAGCTGATCTGGTTTCAGTGTGAGAGGACGATTCTGGATGAAAAAGCGAGGATAGGAAGTCTGCACGCCAACGCTCTGACAAAAGGGTCTGGACTACAACTGTCACTGCAATAAACTTTATGGAGCTACTGACCTTTACCGGAGGATCTGAACAAAAGCTGAGAAATACCAGAGAAGAAGAAGAAGAAGAAGACGACCCCGGCGCTCTGAGAGAACGCTGTTTCCTTAGTAAACTCATGGATAGAGTCACAGCTGAGATGATGTTAGAGACAGCTCTGTGTATCGAAGCTCTCTTTTTAAAGGTACGGCTCACTCTCTCTTTAGTTTGGGAGAACTTTAATTAAACACACATGAGTCAGAGGGAGTTACCGCCACAGGGGCCAATTAGCAAGGCACAGAAACAACGAGACTCAGACCGAGGTCTGCAGACGGTGTGGAGAAGCTCACCTCTGAGTGTGATCTCTGAGTCGCTCCCCTCACTGAAGACAGAGACAGCTTCACCTGCAGCCTGCACACACACACACAGACGAGCTGCATTAACACACACTTCAATAACACACTTCAATAACACACTTCATTAACACACACTTCAATAACACATAGGCCTGTCACGATAACAAATTTTGCTGGACGATAATTGTGCTACAAATTATTGCCGATAAACGATATTATTGACACCGTTTTTTAAATTATAGATAATGATATTAAATGGCATAATAAAGCGAGTACACCGTGACAAAAGTGACAAACTTTAATTTCACCCACGACGAAGACGTAACGTTGACGAGCTAAACATCAGTCGGAGATGACTAAAATGTGACGAGACGAAAGTGCGTTTACGTTGATGGGACGAGACGAAAATGACGAACAGAGTTGCAAAACTCAGTCAGTTAAACGCTAAACATATAGGAGCAGCTTCAGTCCGCTCTGACAGCTCTCATCAGCCTGCTGTGCTCCTCCAACACACAGACACACACACGCGCGCGCGCGCACACACGTGGAGTTTTGTGGTTGACGAAAACAAAAGTGGTTTAAAGCCGAAATATTCCCACACTTGGGCTGTTGCGTTCGGTTTAGACACCAAAGCTGTCGTGTTCATTCTGTTAGCTTGCTTTTCACTCACGACGCTCACTTGCAGCACTGTATCCAAAAGTCTGTGTGCCTGTGCGCGCCTACGTGTACCTATGCGCGCGCCCCCCGTGACAAAGATACTGAATGACTGACAGGAGGGTTCACTAACTCCGTTCATTCCGCTATACAGCCAACGCCCCCAGGTGCCGAGAAAAATGCTCAGAGTGAGACCTCTTCTCTCATCCAGCGTGTTTGGTAGCGAGAGAGGAGGAAAACAAACGCACGTCAATTATCGAGGCTGGCAAAATGACCGACCTCGTTTTTATTTATCGAGCGATAAGGCGATTTATTGATTATCGCGACAGGCCTAATAACACACTTCAATAACACACACTTCAATAACACACTTCTTCACCTTCAGTTAGAGGAGTCCAGGTGATCAGAGACACTCTGAACATCTGACCTAAAAACCCACCAGGACTCATGTTTCCCTCCACAGACAGCAGGTTTCTTCAGTTTATCTCATGTCAGTGAAGCAGAGCACCTGTTCTGTTATTTCTGCTCCAAAAGTGTGAAACTTCAGTCTATGAACACACAACCCTACACAACCCTAGAGTCCAACACAAACTGAGAACTGAGAATGTGGACCACAAATGTGTCCTACTTTCCCCGGGCCGTGAAGGCACCACCATACCACCACAGCTCGCTCTCAGTTCATCAGATGGTTAACCGGACAAATCAGAGACAAAGAACTGAAATCACGGGTGGAGCTGAGAGCGGAGAGGTTGCTCTGAGACAGGAGTGGTGCTTGGTAACAAAAGAGGAACCGTCTGGAGACACGGAGCAGAGATCTGAAGAGGAATGAGAGTTTCCTCTGAGTTTAGAGCAGGTAGAGATTAAGGCTGCACGATATTGGAAAAAAACTAACACTGCGATTTTTTTCAACCCTGCGATATATATTGCGATATTAAAAATACAGGAATTTTCACAAGATGACCTGAATAGCATTTAATGTTATGCTGCACTGCTGAAGTCTTGAGGACAGTTAATCTGCTCTGATCTTACCTCTTTTTGTGAATGTTAGTAGAACGGCTTCTGTCTGTCTCAGAGATATTTTTAGCTTTTATTGTGCTGGGACGTTATTGTGGCGACAGATGAACACAGAACACGTGTTTTGGTCGACATCATCCTTCTTTTAACCGAAATAATTCCAGATAACTGACTTTCCTTTTCTTTTTGGCAACAAATCTTCATTTTCGGTGGTTTTCGCTTGTTCGTTGTTCATTTTGCGATCGTTGTTGTTGTTGTTAGCGGTGTTGTGCCGAGAAACGCATGTCCTCCGAGAATTGCATTCACCTCGCAAAACGCGCACTGCTTATAGTAGAGTGGTCCACGGAAATGTACAATTTAAAACCCATACAGTTCTTATTTGTTGGGCTTAATAGTCAGCAAAGTTCCGAAAGTAATTCTCAGCGGACACACGTCTCCCTCCATGTGCAGAACATGTGCAGGGGTGGGTTTCCTCCTCTCTGATTTTGATTGACAGCTGGCAGAGTAGTCTGATTGGCAACTGAGAAATGAGTCTGATTTGCAACTGAGTAAAGGACGAAGGTGATTGGTGGATCGCTGCACAGCACATGCAGAGTCACATGGAGTGTATCTCAGTCGGTTACCCTTGAAATTAAATGAGTTCATTCACCTCCAACATCGCAGGCTCTGCGATGTGACTATCGCACACACGTACATCGTGATGACGATAGTCAAACGATATATCGTGCAGGCCTAGTAAAGATGGAGAGAATCTCATTTACATCCAACATGGAAAATAAACGACTATTTCTTCCTTTTCTGAGCAGATGGCATCATCACACAACAAACAAACAACAGACAACAAACAACATACACACAACAAACATACACACAACAAACATACAGCATACAACACACAGACAGACTGACCGCTGACAGATATGAGAGCAGACAGTGTGTCGGGTTCATCAGAGGTTAGAGAGAGAGAGAGAGAGAGAGAGAGAGAGAGAGAGAGAGAGAGAGAGAGAGAGAGAGAGAGAGAGAGAGAGAGAGAGAGAGAGAGAGAGAGAGAGAGAGAGAGAGAGAGAGAGAGAGAGAGAGAGAGAACAGGAGGGCAGGAGGGGAGAGTGACGGCCAAGCAGCTGTCCACACATTCACAGCTCACTGTGAGAAAACACACACACACACACACACACACACACACACACACACACACACACACACACACACACACACACACACACACACACACACACACACACCGTGGAACAAGGAGGTCAGACTCGTGGCTCCAGATTACAGATGATTAAGAATTTAATAAACTGTAATAAATGTAAATCTAATGGAATATGGAGACAGTGTGTGTGCTTGTTTTCCACCTGATGCTTACACACACACACACACACATACACACACTAACCTGATGGTTCATTAAAGTGTTGCTGAACCCTCGTTTCCTCGGTCTAATGTGACCCCCGTGTTTGACCTTTGTGACCTTTAAACACTGAACGATAGTGACGCTCACACAGCTGATCATAGGTCCAGGTCCAGGTGGGCTGCAGGTCAGGGTCTCAGGTATACATACAAAGTCAGTTTGTGGGTCAATTAAAGGACTATCACGCTCAAAAACATCTATGATACTCACAGGCGGCCTGCAGGAGAGTTAGTGTTTATTTTACGTATCATAGAGTCGGTGTTTTCTAAGAACAGGTTCATATTCAACGTTTTATTTGGACTACAGCTAAATGTTCAGAATCAGAACTCAACCGTTCTTAAGATCCAAATAAACTCCGTCTGTTCAAGAGGAGGCTGAAGCTCCGACACCGAAGATCAGACTGCAAATCTCTAAACCAGCTCTGTGTCCCTCTGGAAGGATGAGGTCTGATCCGTGAACACCTCCGAGTCCTTCAGGCTGATGAACTTGGACTGTGAGATTAGACAGATCCATGAGGAGCAGCTGTTACAGAGCTTTAACTCATGCTCTGATAAATATGGAGAAACAGGAGCCGTTTTCAGACCAAACACTAAAAAAAACCTCTGATTTAGTGTTTAAGGACGTTTTACAGGTTCATCTTTTCTCTGATATCAGACTGAGTGATCGGCCTCCTGGACTCTGACAGACTCTGACCCTCATCCTGGTTTTCCCCACGATGCAACTCAGAGCGGCGGGGGCACACAGACGCCAGGCGGCTGCGCTCCACGACGCTCCTGTCAGATCTGGAGCGTGTTGGCGAGGGCGGAGAGGGCGGAGAGGGCGGTGTTCACGTCTCTCTTTAAAAAAACGGAGGAGAGATCG